AAAAAAAATCTCTTTGTAATTAATTTTATAGAAGTAGAGTCCAATACATGGTAAGATTCTCGACCATGCAATTGAAAATCTATAAGAGTCCAAACCAACTTTCTTGATCAAAGCCACGTCTTCCTGCAACATTAATAATGAAAATGAGTACAACTTACAATGAAAAATATTTATTCTTGGTGGCTTAAACTGTAGTACAATCAAGTACAATGGAAAACAGTTATGTAGGATAAAACTCCTTGAACAGCCCCTATCCAAACAGGGCTGGGGGTTGTCTGCCGCCCATATAGCATTCCCTAGTTATGTATCTTCAGTTTTTTTTCAAAGTTAGACTTTTTGACTTCAAGTGCTAACAAAGTATCAACACATCTTAAACGTTAGGTTCGAAATGGTGGTCATGAATTTATCATTTTGAATATTGGGGACGAATTAATGTTATTGTTGCTTACCAAGAATCATTTAATTCATGACACATTGGCAAAAAATGTCCAATTTTACATATATTAATTCGAAAATGTCCACTTTTGATAATCTTTGCAAAAATGGCCAAATTTGATACCAAATCCTCTATTTTACCCTTTATGAGAGAATAAATAACTTCATATTGCATATGTCAAATTGCAATTAATGCCAAACACAGAAATATCGAGATCAACATTTAAAGTGTAGAGAAATATCATGTTTGAAATGAAATATCCTTTTAGACATTTAATATGTCGAGAACAATGTTTGAAATATCGAGAACATTTAATATTGTGATTTGACATGTGTACTTTTGAAATATAAATGAATTCAAATATCAAAAACGACATTTGAAATGTCCAGAACATCATTTTAATGTAACTTTTTATGGAAGCTACTTAGGAGTACTCTCGTCCAAATAATTGCAAAAATAGACATTAAAAAATTTTGGACATTTTTGCCAATGATTATGTCAAAATGGACATTTTTTATAATGTCCTCTTAATTCATTTAAAGTTGAAAGTCCAATTCATTTTCTCTTCAGTTGTTAAACTAATATTACACACAAATCAAAAAATTTTCCTTCATTTTTAACCACACATTCTCCACCAATCAAATATTCCAAAATACATTCTTTAAAAAGAATGTGGCTCAAATACACTCTAAAGTTCCTCTTATTACTTCTTAGATTTGAGATTATTTTCCATTTATATTAGTCCACTAAAGTAATTACCATCACTTTGCCACAAGAAAATTAAATGAAGTACATATACCTTGAACAAGTTATAGTGATCAAGAGCGACGCACCCATTTCTACCATCCGCAGTGCTATCTGCCACTCCAATTAGTAAACATAAATATATGCTCACCAATGATCATTGTATAAAAACACAAGTACAATTCTTGTATATGTATATACTAACACGTGCTTATGTGTATATTATTAAGAATGAGGGGTCTTGTCCTAAAACTTTAATTTTATTAAAATGAGTAGCACGAGTCCTTATGTTGATTAATATTTTATATATAACTGATATGAGATTATGCTTTAACGTGCCTCCATAGGATAGTGAACTAGCTTGAAACATCATTCTTAAAATCCAAATGCTTGTTTGAGAGCTTCAAATAGATATGTAAACAAGTTGGGTCGAGCGGGCTTTTGAGTTGAAGATCACGGTTCGGGTGCAGTTTGAGCATAAAACGGCTTGAGGTTTTTCGGCTCTAGCTTTTAGACTTGGGGCGAGCCCGAGCCTACTCTTTTTTTATTTTATAATATAATTTATACTGGCAGCAGCCTACAGGCACCACCTGAAGCAAATATCACTAGCTTCTTGTCGAATAAATCCATGTTTGGGAGATTTTGAGCTTCGTTAACACAAATATCCAAATTCCCATGTAACAGCATCAGTTTTAGGGACCCTATCTTGGATGGAAAAATTTCCACACCTTGACCTGGCTGTGATCCACCATTCCGCCATAACTACTATAATGTGCGCCAATAGCTATGAATTACTCAAATGATGGATCTAAACGGCATCGGATTTATCCATGAGTATACCAAGAAGTCTATCTTGTAATTCACTAGATGAATAAATGTTGACAAAAATTTGTCTAAACCCTCTTTGAAATGGCAGAAAGCTGGGGGCAAAAAAAAGGAAAAAGAAGAGATTTTCTTGTTCATCGCGATATTAATAATAGATAGCAGAAGTAATCAATAAAATGACCCAAAAACGTAAAATAAAAAATCAAGTAAAAACAAATACATGACTAATCTATATCCCGAATGAAAAAAAAGAAAAAAAAAAAAAGGTAAAACAGTTCCACCAAGCCACGAGCCTTGCCTCAACTCAAGTTTTTTATGGGCCGAGACGTGGGCCGCTCGAGCAGGATTGACATCCCTAGCTTCAGATGGATCATATAGCTTGTTTGAGCTTGTTGGCTCTATATGAGAATAGAAATTTCATCTTAAAGGGTCAACATTGTTAAAAGAAGTAGTTTTTATATGTTGGTTAATATTTTTATATTTAGTCTACGTAGGATTAACATCAACATATTAATAAATATGAGAGAGAGAGAGAGAGACCAGGTGAATGTAGAGTCATAACGTCCCAATTACTCCTGCCTTTACCACCTTCGTTCCAAGCACGTTCGACCTGCAGTAATTAAATACATAATCCATGAAAGAAATTATATATCCAGAAATTAAGAAGAAACAACCAAATTATTACATGTGAATGGACCTTCTAACATATGCATTCATGCGTTCTCATGATGGTTTAAGTGATTCTTCATTATTTTCAAACATTAGCGTAATATTGGATAAGGTGTGTTTTAATAATATTGGACAATATTAATGAAGTAATAATAGATTAAGTATTGTCCTTTCGGTCCAATACTATTTGATGAAACATACTACAACATACCAATTACATACACTTGATAAGCTGATGTTGTAGCACCTAAGATAAAACCTTATAAAAATTAGACCATTTGACCTAGATTTGGGTGGAATCCATCTGACTTAACAATATGAAAAACTTAAGTAATGTTACATTGAATACACATATAGATGTGACGACGGAGTTGGTTGGTCCATCACAAATCTCTTAGATACGTAGTCTTGCATTTTGATGATGATGTTAGAGAATTTTAATTATTTTCAAACATACGTGGTATGTTTGATAAGGTGTATGTAATAATAAAGGACAGTGATAATAAAGTAAAAAAAATTAAAATCTTGTCCATTCTTTTTTCATTATTGCTTGATACGGTATATGAAAATATAAACTAGTTAGTTACACACCTGATATGCCGATGTTGCAGCACCGAAAATAAAATTCTTGGGAAAATTAGAGCGTTTAACTTAAGATTGGGAGGACTCCATTGGAATGAGCAAGATGAGATATTATAGTTAGTTGAGAGAAGTGTGCGGTTCCTCTAGTTCATGCACTCTATTTATAAACTGGATTTTTGAATGCTTATACCATACAATTTGACAAGAAGCACAAAGTAATTATAATATAATGGGGAAAGGCATAAATACTTCTTTATTAAAGTAAATGCAAGTACAGAGATAAAATATGTATGCAGCTTTAAGTCATTCTTTACTTCCTTCTCATTACTTCTTGGCCTTTCTTAGATTTTCCCAATTAGGCATCTTGAGTTATTTATAATTTTTGTTTACAGATATTTTCTATTTGGGTTGCTCTTTGAAATACTAAGTCGATAAATTTTTGACTTCTTGAAAATATTTATTAAATTATAACTCTTCAAGTATTGTAGAATTTGCATGAGATATTCATTGGATGGTTTCTAGTTGTGAATAGATATTCTTGCGCATGAGTGAATAAACATTAAATATGTTTCTACTGTTCGAGAATATTGATTTTGGATTTATGGGAAACTGAAAGGTGTAAGGATAAAATAAAAACTGAATTAATGGAACTTGTTACCAATTTAATTGGGTAATGGAATGATATGGATTGAATTCTTAATTATTGAAGTAAATTTGCAATCATGGAGTACAATTTCAGTCATTTAGTGGAGCGGTTTTTAAATTAATATTGCGCTTTTTTTTTTTTTTTATCTCAATCAGTGGGAAGTTAAGATGTTGGATTAGTAAAAAAAAAAAATTTAACAGGAAAGAATTTAAATTTTTTAATTATAATTAAATAACTCACTGTGAATAGGTAGTTAGAAAGCCCAGTTTAAATCGAATGTAGTATTTTGAATTTCATGTCAATGATTAATTTTATTGAAAATGATTATTTATTTTTTAAAATGTTTGTGTTTAAGAAAAGGAGGAAGAAATTATTTTAATGCATTTCGTCAATAGTTGACTAGCCCAAACCTAATCAAAGAGAACATTAAAGTTTTATAGGGTCTTTTTATTTAGGTGCAGATAGTGCTCATTTTCACAGGCAAAGGACACCTGGATCTACACGAGTCCATGTTTTTACTCCAAAATATAATCCAAATGAATTTTATAATTATACATCTTCTCAGAAACGAAAGGGAAAATTCCATTCTTCATTGGACTGAAATGGAAGACGTGATGTGTGCTCAACATCCCGTCAATGACAAATGCTTTTAAAGAGCTGAATTTAGTAAATACCATTCTCTTATAAATAGTGAAAATATAAGCAAGCTTAAAAAATACAAAAAATATAGAGGAAAGGATGAGGAATAACTTGTTTGAAATAAAAAGATTGAGATTCCAATTTTTAAATTGACCTTTTTTTTTTATATATTTTCCTTGTAGAGTAAAGGTGATATGGCACTATAGGGTAAAGAAATGGTGGAAACAATTGAAAAGAAAAAATTAAAGGCAGCAAAGGGAAATTAAAATGATATTGCGTACAGTGAATAGAAATGAGCAAGGTAAAGATTTCAATAGGAAATGAAGTGAAGAAAATAAAAATTGGAATCACAATGTGTACGTCTAAAAATTTACATTAGTGTTGTTTTTGTAGGAACAAAATGGGATGAAGCATTAATATTGTGATGAGTTTCAATTAAACGTGTAGAATAGGTTCATTGGTCTTATGGGCTAACCATTGGTTTGCTAGAAGGGGAATTTACAAAATATCCTTAAAATTACAGGTTCTTTTGAAAAATCATATGAAAAGTATTTTGAAAGTGAAAAATATTATGAAAAGTTAAGTGTCACTTTTTAATTAAAAAATGACATACATTCCCAAAAGCAAGAAACACAAATCAAAGCCTTAGAATAGATCCACGGGTGGTTGATTTTTCTCTACATGTTTCACTTCATTTTACGAACACAATGCTCTATGAGTTGAAAGTGATAGAAATTCAATAAAGTGAAAAAAGTGACGGAAATTTAAAAAAAAAAAAAAAACGACAAACACTATAAAAGTGAGGAACTTCAATCAAAACCTATAATAGACACGGGGGTTATGATTAATTTTTTAATTTTTTAATTTTTTTTTTTACATGTTGTATCTTTATGATTGTGTCTCACTTCAATTAACTAAAGATAGAATAAAACTACCCCTCATGGGGTGGTCGAGTTTGTGGAGTAGGTGAGCACCATGGGCGGACCCAAGGGGGGTTAGGTGACCCCACAACCTTTGATTTTTGATTTTTTTTTCCCCTTCCTGTGTATGGATAAGTCATGTTTGGGTATCAATTGAAATTTAAATTTTAATCTAAATCAAAGTTTGCAATTAATTTTAATAACATATTTCATGGAATCCTTAAAGTTTTTACTTTTATCAAAATATACTAAAAATCTGATTTTAAAACTCTACTAAACAGGGGCAAAATCACAATAAATTTGAATTTTTTCTCTCTTTTCTCTTACTATATCTTACGCTCTCTCTCACACTTTTTTATCAAAACTTTAATCCTTCTAATTTTTAAAAATTTGTCCATAATTTTTCTACAAATTATCACATTTACTATAAATTTTCACTTTCCTATCAAAATTTCAATTAATTAAAACCTAAATTGACATTTTCTCCTATCTTATTTGTGTACCTAGAATGTATCGAACTGATTATATCCAATTTAAAGAATTGTATTTATTTGATTGAATATTGGTAATATATTTTTTCTTTCGATCACTTGAATTGATTGTTTGTATTAAATACGTTCTTGTGATGAACAAAATATTAATAAAATGACTATTCGAAATCAAAAGAATGAAAATGATGAGCAAAATATTAATAAAGAAAAATTTTTAAAATGTAAATCTACATTTTCTCAGTTCGAGTATAAATCAGTCAAAAATCAAGAACAAAGTTTTCGATTTGTACAAAGTTTAATTATGTCTCCTAACTAAAAATTTCTGCGTCCGCCCCTGGTGAGCGCAGAGGCCTTTGTTTACTAGTTCGATTCCTCCTACCAACATTTTCTCGATCGAGTCTGTCGCATCGGGCTTGCCTAGTGCGGTTTACCTAACTGTCATGGCTTGCAGACTATTGCGTCAGTCCGAGGGTTTACCCAGTGCGCACCTGAAAAAAAAATGATAGAACAAAACTTCATTTAAGGAACTTAACATCCTATAAGTTGAAAGTGGAAAAAAAAAGAAGAAGAAAAGAAAAAAGAAAAAAAAAAAAGAAAAAAAAGAAGTGAAAGTGAATAATAATTTTATATTGCTTCTTTAATCAGGTGTCACATTCGTTCTACTAATAATTTTGGTAATATATATATATATATTTTTTATTATTATTATTATTTTTTTTTTTTTTTGAAACGCAAACATTACCCTCGGCAGATGGATCCAAATGTAAGTCCTAAAAGCATGCATGTGATTTTCAGACTAAAGTATAATTTGATCGCATACCACCTTCTAGCCTGGCCAGTGTAATGGCTACAAATATAGTACTATGGTTAGATTTGTCACACGAGCGGGTCCAAAATAAAATGTTGTTGTATGTGAGGCAACATCATGTGATGGGATTTTTTTACTTGGATTTTTTCTCCAAAAGTATATCATACTTAATAGAATTAAGAGGGGATGCAATGTGTAGATTCTAGTGTTTGGATTACTCCTACACAAGACAATAAATTAACAATTGATTTTGGGTGAAGAAGAAGATATACGAGGATTGGTTGAGAATCATTGAATAAATTCAACAGTTCAAGATTATTTTTCCTTTTTCTTTCTATAATTAAAAGTGGGGTGATGTCTCAATATTCCATCTTTCATTTTTATTAATTTATGACGCTCGACTAAATTTTCTAGTCACTCGGATGGCGATGAACGATCTGTAGTGATATTTAATCTCAATTTCAAGTCTTTGACGTTGCTACTTGTTTAGCTTGAATAGTTATTATTATTATATTAATCCTTTTAATTAATTAATCCCTAATTGAATTGATCTTGATTCTTATTTTAATCTAGAGGATGAATAAGGATTAGCATGTGATATTGATCAATTAGAGTCCAATAGAGGATAAAGATATGCATGTATGATTTGCATGATTTAATTATATGTTCTAGTGATTAAATGCATTTTCACATGTTCACAATCCTCACTGAGATATATAGGTTCACATGTGAGGATATGTCTATTATTGCTAGAGAGATTATTAAATGAAGTAGCTACATTGATCATCTAGTTCATAAATCCTTTTTAGTAGTTTAACAGATTTACACTTAGTTATATATTAAATTAGTTATTATCAAAATTGTGCTATTCGATTAGAGTTAATATTAATTGAAATCAAATTAAGTACTTTGTTCTCGTGGAAGCGATACTTTCTCACACCATATAATTTGACTACGAGACCATACACTTGCAAAATTTAAGCAATCACCACCCATATGATGAGATAAGTCAAGTGGTATGACAAGAATAAAATCCTTCTATATAAGTTTCAACTGGATATGGGATATGGAACTAGTGACAATCCCAATTTGGAAAGGTTGAGAATGACATTAACAAAATAGGTAAGTTAAAGATCAATTCATACATTGCAAAGGTAGGAGGCCTGCAGCAACTTTCAATAATTAAAAAGAACAAATAATATACTAATTTACAAGAAATGGAGAAAGCCGGTCTCAAATCTTTTATTGCACAAACTGAAAACAAGAGAGTTACACTTGGAGCCTCAGAGGGTTCCAATTATTTGAGCATAATGACTATTAAGTTACAGCATTTATTTATTTCTCTTACCAGGAGAGAATTAAGGCAGAAACTAAAGGAACATCAAGCATGCATCCATGCTAGCATTATTCAACAATATAATTCAGTAAGGAAGCAGTAAAATAGTAATTGTTGACTTTAAGCAAGGCCGCTTCTTGGCTTTTTTGCAGGACCATGTCGTTCTTCTTCAGTTTCAACATCCTGTAGCTTCAATGGAAGTCTATTCCATGGATTCTTAGGATTTTCAAGGAAATTCATCCACCATACAGCTGAGGTTTTTGGGAATCTTGTCAAACGTC